AACTGAGTAAAGGGCAGAATAACATAAATAATCCGCGGTCGAGTGGTTTGAGTGACATCAAGGCACACACCGCCAATCGGAGGAGAAGCTCGGCCAAGCATTTTAAACTTTGCATAGATTGCTTTACAGAGCACAGAAGGCGTACTAATCTAAAGGTAATACAAGCATTTTGTGTCCAATTTGCCGTCAAATTATTCGACAATTGACGAAAGTATTTATTTAACTTTATACATTTTCATGTTCCTTTTTTCTGTTGAAACTTTGAGTAATTTAATTCTCATACACATGTGCATACATATATACACATGTATTAAATATATGCATTGAAATTTGTTAATTTAAAATTCTTCGTATAATAAAGGAAAACAAATATTTAGTTCAATGTTATCATATTAGTTAGTTTTTATTCAGAACAGGGTTTTGCATGTACATAATCTAAAAAGGAGACAAAAGCCACAATAAAGATGAAATAACGCCCGCGGGCTTTATTTCATTTTTTAGGAAATTAAGCCTGTGGGCGTTATTGCTATATCGAAAGGGAAATAATACCCACCGGCAAAAGGCAATAAAACCCGCGGGTTTGATTTCTTTTTCGAAAAGGCAATAACGCGCGCGGGCTTTCTTATTTTCTTTTTAGTAAATAAAGCCCATAGGAATTGGGCGTGGCACCGCCCGCTTTATGACTACAAAGGTCTATCTCGGTAACCGCTTTATCGATTTCTACTAGGGCTTTCGATTTCTGTTCGCCCATTCTCGAGCATTTCGAAACCCGGGAAATCAAGTTCTCGACACAACCTTGCGTACCGTCAGCATATCGAAAGTATTAAAAACAAAAAAAAAATGTATGTTAAATGTTGAATTAACCCTCAAAATACCGTCAAAAATGTCACTTTTTTTTAATTTAGGATTTTGGCTCCCATTCCGCTAGAAAACACTATACTTAGTACACCATTAGCATTGTTTCTGAAAGATCTTCGGTTAGAAAGAGATAATGGAATGAAAATTTTTTTATCGTGAAGAGCACGGTGCATAGGCAACTGGCTGAGTCAGAGAGATCGTCGGTTCGAAGCCTACTAAAAGAAGTCTGATGAGGAAATGTGGTGATTTCCGAAATAGCTATAACTTCTACCATTTTTTCAAATTATTGTTGCTTTTCCACAATAAATTTTCATTAAAAAAACGGCCTCGAGCTCAATAAAAATTGTTGAATATAAGTGAAGATAAATGATCATATAATGTAAGAAAACTATAGAGAAGTTACAACCCCTCAAAATACCGTTCAAATTGTCACTTTTTTGAAATTTTGGATTTTGGCTCCCATTCTATTAGAAAACACTATATTTAATATACCATTAGCACTGCTTCTGGAAGATTTCTCTTAATTTTATCTCGATTTTTGGGACATTGATTGAAAAATAAAAGCTTCCTTTAAACTCTAATAACCCGTAAACTATCAACTTTCACAAAAAATGTATATAACAAAAATGGTTATACTGGTCGATATCTTTACGAAAGTGCAGCATTTAACCCTTTAATGCAGAGTCTGTCATATATGAAACCCTTTCAAGGCATAGGAAAATGGTTCTCATTATGCTTTTTAACGTGCTTTTTCTCATGTTGACGTAGATATTAATCGTAGAAAACTATACCATTGTTAAATAATAATAAAAAGAAAATAAAAATAAAATAAAGAAATAAAAAAATAAATAAAAAATAAAAGTAAATAAAAAGTGCGTTGGAAACTCTGCCTTGAAAGGGTTAAAAATTCAAAATTGTGGCAAATTCAATTAAATTTGGCATTAATTCTCTTTAGGAGCGCAATTTAGTTGTTAAATGTTGCGAAAATTCGCGAATAATTAGAGAAATTGTGTACCTTTTGGTCATCCACTGCTATATACTCATTCTAAGAAGAATAATACGTATATATGTATGTATATATACTCCGCCTCTTATCATATCTGGCACGTCTTTTATGTTTCGTTGTTAGAATTGTAAACTTCCGTTGAAAGGCACTTATAACTTATTAGATAAAAAAATAAGAGGATATTTCAGGTCCCATTCGAAATATCGCCACCTAAACGTGAAAAGGTTCAACGCGGGCCGCGATGCTGGTAACAGAGGAAGAGGAAGGCCTCCTCTGCGTTGGAAAGACCAGGTGGAGAAGGACTTGGGTTCACTTGGCATTTCCAATTGGCGTCAGTTAGCACAGAGGAGAAATGGCTGGCGTGCTGTTTTGGACTCGGTTACAGCGCCAATAAAGAAGAAGAAGAAGAAAGGTGAAAAGGTGCAAAGACAACTTTTTTTTCAAAATTGACAGAAACAACATCGATATGCTTTATTTAAAAATAATTTGTTTTTGTGACAAAAACTTGCGGAACCTTATTTTTTACTTATATCTTTTAGAATAAAAGGGCGACCATGATACAAATAAAATTATAGTTTAAAAAACTAAAACCTCCCTATTATAATTGCCATTCGTACTGTCATCAGGTATGTAACTTGAGAATAGAAATCGCTGCATCTTTTCGGCGCATCAATATTACATATGTAGTTACAACCCGAGCTAATAAAAGGAAGGTAAAAAAAAGAAGGTAGTGTCACTTTGAAATTTTTTGACATTAACTGTGCTTATGACGTTTATACTTTTCGCAAATTGCTCGAGTATCACTGCCACCTCAAAAATTATTATTTTGGAAATTTTATTATTTTTTAAAGGAATTTTTCATGCATTAAAAAATAACAACACGCAAGGTAAGTTTACTTAATTCATCGTATTAGCATAGTTGTTAACCCTCTAGTAGGCCAATTTTTTATGGGTTCAAAAATTCAGGAATGGGTGATTTTAGCACGAGAAATCCAATGTCCAATGATGTCCATTTCGATCTGTGACAGTAACTTTTTCCTACAGGGGAGAAAAACCAAGATCTTCTGGAGACGGGCTCGCCCAGAGGGCTGTAAAGTTCCCAGTCAAACTGCACTTCTCACATTCAATCGAAAAATAGGAACACATGCTTGCGGTACCTAAAAAAAAAGGAACAAAAGTAGAGAAAATCCCAAATGAGCGTACCTGAACGATGTTACTCGACGGCGCTCTCATTTACCAAATACGTGTTCCGCTATGCTCACATACTTAAGTATCAAGCAACCTGAACATAGTGTTTGGAAACTTCAGATTGGAAGGTCAAACTGCACGTGAAGTTTTATGTTCTTTTTATTGGTTTGGAATCTACTTATAACACGCGAAGACATATTTTTATACCCGAGCGCACTTCTGCACAACGGTATTATAACTTTGTCCACATAACGGTTGTTTGTAACAGGCAAAACGAATCGAGATAGATATAGACAAATGTATACATAAATGATCAGAATGATAAGAGAAATCAATTAAGCAATGACTGTCTGTCCGTCCGTCTGTGCACACGAAAACTCGAGTAAAAATTGAAATATCTTAAGAAAACTTTGTACGTGCACTTCTTTCGCGCGTAGGACGGATGGTTTTGAAAATGGGCAAAATCGGACGATAACCGCGCCTACCTCATATAACGGTAATTTTCAGAAATACGAAAACTGTGATATTTTAGTAACTACTGAATATTCACTCAAAATTGATATTTACAATAATTTTTAGACGAAAAATAAGATTATAAATTTTTGGAAAATGGGCGTAGCCACGCTCACTTATGGTTACATGTTTATATCTCGGCAACCGCTGCACCAATTCCAAACTTGGCACAGTTGTTAGCCTTGCTACAGCATACCAAATGGCCCACGCTCACATCCCATATAATGGTAATTTGGAGAAATACGAAATATTCGATAAATCTGTAAAAACAAAACGTTGAAAATTGCTGAAATTGAGGCCGCTTTTCATATAACGGTAAATTTCAGAAATACTTGAAACTTCAATATTTCGAAATTTAAGGACGCTAATATACTCAAAATTGATACACCCCGGCTTAACATGTAGCGGTAGCTTTTGGAAAGATGAAAATCATATATTTAATACTTGCGCCGGGTATTTAATGTTCAGCTCCGCCCGAACTTAGACTTTCTTACTTGTTTTGTATGTGATCAGGTTTGCATTCGTTCGGTTGTGTGTGTGATATTAAAGCGCTTGGCCTGTAGATGTGTACTAAGGTTTATTAACTTAAGTGTTGCCACCTGTTATAAATTTTAATTAAAACTATGTAATAAGTGAAATCGGTTATTAAAGTATGGGTATTACTATAAATTGGTTTGAAAATGCTCCATTTCTAATAAATATGTAGGAGTGTTGCCACCCGTTTAAAACATCATATTCAACTAAACTTAAGGAAGTTAGGTAAATGAAATACATACATACGTGAGGCAATTTTTTGTGAAGGAGATCAGATCTCTACAGTTCTTTCGAAAAAAATTAGATGTCAATTTAAGGACCTTGGTTTTATTTTTTGAAGTAAGAACTTCTTTAGAGGTACAGGGTGAATTGATGCAATTGATATCGATAACAAAACCCATAAAAATATCGATTACAAAATCGATGACGAATTCGTTGAAAATTTCGATAGCAAAATTGATAATAATTTTGGTAGCAAACTCGATTAGAAAATCGATAAAAATATTGGCAAAATCGATAAATAATTGATAACAAAATCGATAACAAAAATCGATTAAAAATATCGATAACAAAATCGATAAAATATCGATAACAAAGTCGATAAACAGTCGATATCAAAATCGATAACAAAATCGATAAATAATCGATAACAAAATCGATAACGAAAACGATGATTAATCGATAACAAAATCGATAAAAATATAGATAACAACCCCGATAAAAGTATCGATTATTATATCGATAAGTCCCAAGAAAACCGAAAATCTCTATATTGTATAATATATTTAACAGGTGGCAACCCTACTAAAGATGTTACCTCTTGATAAAAGTGCACAGAAATGCCTTTCGTTCGATAAAAGCGTTGAAAAATTTTACGCCACTTAAGGCTGGTATTGTCACTTGCGAAGCGAATGAAAATATAGGCGAATTTCTCCGAATTGTGAGATGCAAATTCGCCGCAAATTTGCGAACGAGTGGCGAAAATGAATTTCTTGTATTGCCACTAGCGAAAATTCGACATTCGCTTCGCCAAAGCTGTCAAAATTTTTCGACTGTTTATTTTGTTCGCGTTTGAAAATGACGTTAGTAAACTTTCGTCTTATTTATTTAATAAAATCTAATTTTCAGAACAAAACGGACAACAACGCAGCAGTTCAAAAAGCTGGTTAGCATATTGGAAAATAATCCGGACGTCGCAAGAGGGATGGGGAGTTTCGGTTCCACAAAGAAGATCAGGGCAGAGTTGTGGAAGAAGTTCGCTACCGAACTTAACGCCATTGGTCCTCCAATACGTAGCGGACGCGAGTGGAATAAGGTAAGAACGGAATCAATTTGTGTGACCGTATGTATGTATGTATGTACGTATGTGTGACATATGTACTATTTAGGTTTGGTTAGACTACAAACTTAAGCTGAAAAAAAAATTGCCACAAAACCGGCGCGAAAATGTGGCCACAGGAGGAGGACCGTACACGCAGCAAAGTTTAACTCCACTAGAGCGAACGGTCGATGAGCTGCTCCACCTGCAGGAAGCAGTGAACCCTACAGGCTCTTCATTTGGCACCAACGTGGCAGAAACGACGGTGAGTGCCAATGAATTAGATGCAGAAGTGCCCCTGGGCGAACAAGCTCTACAAGTGGATTTCGCACCGGGACCATCAACTCCCCGGAAGACGTACGAATTAAAAAAAGAAGAACTAAATTTATTAAAACTGAAGGAAGAAAGGAAGACAACATAAAGAAAAGATGGAAATTAAACTAAAGGAATTAGAACTAAAAACATTAAAATACAGCCAAAAGTAGGTTGGAGTATTCTTATGACCAACTTTTCGTTAGATATATTTTAACCCTCTAGTAGGGTGAACCGCCTCCAGACGGTCGTTAACTAAACACGTACATATTTAGTGCACCTATAATAATTTTTTTTCTATATTCGAAAAGCACGATCTTTAGAAAAAAAGCGTACCTTTACGACGATGTAAATTTTAATCCGTTATGTCCATCCGTTTTATTTTAATTGGCAGTTGAATCACAGATTGTGAAAGACTCGGTTAAAATTAATTATTTCTTGCTATTAAGTAATTTCGTAATTAAAGAAATTTTTTCGTTTGAAACATTTTTTGATACAAAAAAATTCAGTGGGTTTCGTAGTTAAAAGCACAGTATTTTAATATAAGTTTTATAATCATGTCACCATTCCAAATGGAAAAAATTGCTTTCGAACACAGACCGTCTACAGACCGGCTTGCCGACATATAAAAACCCAGTTTGCATTTTTGACCGTCTGCAGACGGGATTGTCGGTTCGTAGGTCAACATTGTGTAAGAGAAAGCTGAAAATACGTCAAATTATATCGGCGAGCCCGTCTCCAGACGGGCTTTGTTTTTCTCCCCTGTAGGAAAAACTTAATGTCACAGATCGAAATGGACATCATTTTTGGATTTCTCGTGCTAAAATCACCCATACCTGAATTTTTCAACTTCAACAAAAATTGGCCTACTAGAGGGTTAATGTTTAGTTAGTTCCTAATCATTTAGTTTCATTTCAATATTTTCTGTAAGTAACTGAATTTTTAATTTTTTATTTTAGTTTCCAAAACATGTGATGAACTAATTTTAAGTTTAACAATCTTGAAGTACTGAATTTAATTTACGATTTTTTATTAATTCTAAGTATATTTTATGAAATGACTGAATTTAATTTGTGATTTTTTATTAATTCTGAGTATATTTTATGAAATGACTGAATTTAACTTGTGATTTTTAATTAGTTAAGAGCATAGAAATAATTTTGTTTAATTTAACTTGTATGTAGCAAGGAATTCAAAAGCATGAAATTAAATAAAAAGAACACAAAGTAAATTATTTTGAATTTATTCAATAAAACGGACTACAATTCATTTTACAACAAAGCATCAGCTATTTGTCTTCGGCGACGATCCCCTGGTGTATCATTGGCATCTTCATTAAATGGTTCCGAAGATACAATGGCGTCAATAAAAACTTCAGCTTTATCTGGATCACTAATTCTAAATTTCTTACAAATGTTGTGGAAAGCGCAGCATATGTTTATAATCGAAATTACTGTAGCAGGATCGTAGCGCATTTTTCCATCACTCAGGAGGCATCTGAAGAGACATTTCAAAACTCCAATCGTACGTTCAACGACGTTCCTAGCTTTCGCGTGCTTATTAAAAATTGACTCCCTAGTTCTAGAGNAAATGGAGAAAATTTCGATTCGAGTCGAAATGCAGAATAGGGCTGATTGTTCCACACGAACGAATCATGTGTAGAACAAGCATATCTAGCATCCACAAAACGGATATTCATGTCATGATTTAATACACAATTTTTTTATCAGTTTTGCTGTATTTATTTCTTAAAAACTTACAATCATAGCATTTATACTAAAAAAGCCTTTTCTATTTAGATGGAGGTGTCTATTTGGGGTGGGGGCATAAATCGCAATATGTTTTCNGAATCGAACTTAGGTATTCTGCGTTACGATCGAAACGAAAGAAGAAGAGGAAGAGAGAAAACATCTTTCGAAATCAGCTGTTTGCCTAGGAATGTGTGAAATCGAAACAAAACAAAGAAATATTTGCCACCAAACTATAGCAGCATATGAAGTAAGTTTGTAAATATTTTAAAATAACTAAATATACCTAGCATCACTGTAATTTAAAAATGAAATTTAAGTGGATACATAATTATAAGAAATAAATCCATAGCCGCGGCGTTATTGCTTGTAGAGAAGAACGAGTCCCAGATTGCTGATGCGGAAGTTGAAAGGTGGAGATTTAGGGACATGTTTGATCTTTTTCAGATGAGTGAAGAGTCATAAGGAATTCATCTTGAACTGTATTACTCATCGCTTAAAGTCAGTGAAATTATAAACGTTGTTTGAGCACTCCACAACATTTGCATTTACTACAGAGTGGAAGATTTGAACGCAAATGAATCCCATTTTGAAAGCCGTCAGGAGGAGGGGAAGAACAAAGCTTATCTTTCCATAGCAAATCGAATTCGAGACAACATACGCACCTCTTTTTAAAAAGTTAGTAAAAACGAGTGCAATAATAAAAGCATCTTTTTTATGTAACTTCACATTTTATGTATGTATGTATCTATGTGCATACATCTATTAATTTTATATAAAAAGAATAAATTGTATTCAGTGCATTTCACAGTCTTATTTATAGATAATGTAAACAAAAACGCCTGGACTTCCACTTTGAAAACGTCGCGCAATATCCCTTTTGGTTGCCATTATTTGAGCCAATTTTTCGTATTGCCCGTATTACCGCTCGCGAAAACACAGAAATCGAGAAAATTCATTTATGATGACTTTTACAATCATGCACAGTATATTTTACTTAAATTTTTTATAAAATTTTATTATTTAAACCCACGAAAATAACAATTGAAACGTTCTCCGTCAACAAATTTGCATCTTAGAAAAACGGAACTACGATCGTAGAATAGGTATAATCGTAAATTTCGTAAATAAATTGATCGAAAGGAAACGGAACGCAGAATACCAAAGATGCCAAATGGAGAAAATTTCGATTCGAGTCGAAATGCAGAATAGGGCTGATTGTTCCACACGAACGAATCATGTGTAGAACAAGCATATCTAGCATCCACAAAACGGATATTCATGTCATGATTTAATACACAATTTTTTTATCAGTTTTGCTGTATTTATTTCTTAAAAACTTACAATCATAGCATTTATACTAAAAAAGCCTTTTCTATTTAGATGGAGGTGTCTATTTGGGGTGGGGGCATAAATCGCAATATGTTNGTTAGTAAATAAGGACTAAGCGGGTATCCGGAATCACCTATAAATAAGTATTTTTTTGTTTTCAAATAGTATTTACATTAATTTTGCGCCGATGTAACAAATTTAATGTACCTAAATAAATAGAGTTATGATCGCCACTTTGATGCATATTCTCCAAATAAGTCTTTAATGAACTATTCATCCCTATTCTGCATTTCGATTACGTTGCCGCATTGCGCTCCGCCGGAATCGAACTTAGGTATTCTGCGTTACGATCGAAACGAAAGAAGAAGAGGAAGAGAGAAAACACCTTTCGAAACCAGCTGTTTGCCTAGAAATGTGTGAAATCGAAACAAAACAAAGAAATATTTGCCACCAAACTATAGCAGCATATGAAGTTAGTTTGTAAATATTTTAAAATAACTAAATATACCTAGCATCACTGTAATTTAAAAATGAAATTTAAGTGGATACATAATTATAAGAAATAAATCCATAGCCGCGGCGTTATTGCTTGTAGAGAAGAACGAGTCCCAGATTGCTGATGCGGAAGTTGAAAGGTGGAGATTTAGGGACATGTTTGATCTTTTTCAGATGAGTGAAGAGTCATAAGGAATTCATTTTGAACTGTATTACTCATCGCTTAAAGTCAGTGAAATTATAAACGTTGTTTGAGCACTCCACAACATTTGTATTTACTACAGAGTGGAAGATTTGAACGCAAATGAATCCCATTTTGAAAGCCGTCAGGAGGAGGAGAAGAACAAAGCTTATCTTTCCATAGCAAATCGAATTCGAGACAACATACGCACCTCTTTTTAAAAAGTTAGTAAAAACGAGTGCAATAATAAAAGCATCTTTTTTATGTAACTTCACATTTTATGTATGTATGTATCTATGTGCATACATCTATTAATTTAATATAAAAAGAAGAAGAAAGAAGTGATTTACAGATAATGTAAACAAAAACGCCTCGACCTCCACTTTGAAAACGTCGCGCAATATCCCTTTTGGTTGCTATTATTTGAAATCGAAACAGAAATCGAGAAAATTCATTTATGATGACTTTTTCAATCATGCACAGTATATTTTACTTAAATTTTTTATAAAATTTTATTATTTAAACCCACGAAAATAACAATTGAAACGTTCTCCGTCAACAAATTTGCATCTTAGAAAAACGGAACTACGATCGTAGAATAGGTATAATCGTAAATTTCGTAAATAAATTGATCGAAAGGAAACGGAACGCAGAATACCAAAGATGCCAAATGGAGAAAATTTCGATTCGAGTCGAAATGCAGAATAGGGCTGATTGTTCCACACGAACGAATCATGTGTAGAACAAGCATATCTAGCATCCACAAAACGGATATTCATGTCATGATTTAATACACAATTTTTTTATCAGTTTTGCTGTATTTATTTCTTAAAAACTTACAATCATAGCATTTATACTAAAAAAGCCTTTTCTATTTAGATGGAGGTGTCTATTTGGGGTGGGGGCATAAATCGCAATATGTTTTCCGTCAACACAGCCAATCACGTTGGGTATTCCTGATCTGGAGAAAAATTTGCTCCTTGCCTGTTGCTTCTCTTCTACTGTCATNATGTAACAAATTTAATGTACCTAAATAAATAGAGTTATGATCGCCACTTTGATGCATATTCTCCAAATAAGTCTTTAATGAACTATTCATCCCTATTCTGCATTTCGATTACGTTGCCGCATTGCGCTCCGCCGGAATCGAACTTAGGTATTCTGCGTTACGATCGAAACGAAAGAAGAAGAGGAAGAGAGAAAACACCTTTCGAAACNTCTCAGTGCGCAACACAATTTTAGCATTGGCGTTACAGATGAGGACAGGCGGTTATTAAATTTGTCTTTGATTTTGTCCAGCACATACATACATACATAAATAAATCTATAAATACATATACATATATGCATACATTTTTCATGTTTCATTGAATAACCTATTTGCACTGGATACTTACACTGTGGACGGCAGCTCCATAGGATTAGAGTAATCTCTAATAAAACGCCGCTGACAAAGAAGGTTAGCTCGCGGTTCAACATTATAACTATCCTCAAAATATAAATCTACGTTTTAA